TACTTTAGATCCATGCTCAGCTCAGCTAGGCCAACTCTTCTACAAGATTTCTGGAGAGCCAGCCTGTCTGAATACTTGAAATGACAACATGTTCACTCCCACACAGGGTAGACGACTCATCTTTAGGAGAAATTTTTTTCTAACCATTGAATTCCCCACTACCTACTATAGCATCTGACATAGATAGGAAGGGATGCACAGTGTAGTAAAATGCTGGGTCAACACTTCATAGTGCTATTTTTTTATGAGAAGAACAAGCAAGAGAACAGTATATTAGATAAAAGAACTTCCATCATTATTTCACTTAGGCAAATAAAATATACATGCTCTATGTGAATAAAATCCATTCACCTTGAGCTGATTCCAACTCATATCAACCAACCGCCTAGATCCCTGCACAGACGTGTGTACATTGCTGTGTGTCTCTTCTCAGCCAAGCTCTGTGCTGGCTGGCCTTGATGGCTGTCCACAAGGGGTTTCTGATCAGGTTTCTGCCAAGACCTTCCGAATACACTTCCGAGTCTTTCAAAACTCTGAAAGCTTAAGTTTCTTATCTTCAAAATCTCCTGGAACACCCACAATATTAAGAATCTGTTTCTAAACATTCAAGCGTCTTTGAAGGCAACTAAGATGGCAGAGATTGTGGTACTGATAAGACAAAGGCCAATGTCAGAACAGCAGAGGTGACTGCTCCCACACTGGTTTAGAACTGGAAAGCACCTGACTCAAGTCTACTTCATAAATGAGACAAGCAAGAGAAGTCATGTGTACCAGATCACATTATCAATTCGTGGCATGACTCAGTTTCCTGACCATTAACCCAATGTAAGTTTTCCTGAATGCTAATCTACCTGATGGCACAAGAGCTGGGAGCTCAGTTGCTTTCCAGAAGGTTGGCATTTGGAACCCACTCAAAGATTCTGTGGGAGAAAGGCCTGACAATCTGCTCCCGAAAGGTGCCACCCTGGAAAACTCCAGAGGGCAGTTCTACTGTGTCACATGGGGTTTCTGGGAGTCAAAATCAACTTAGCAACACCTAGCAACAGCAATCCAATTTGGCATCCATTTCTCCTGGGTCTGTGGCTATTGACTTCTACTTGTCACTTTTGAGACCAACTGTAGACCTACTCCTTCTCCCTTTCTATCATTCTCCTCACCTAAGAAACACAGGGATCCTTGACACTGCCTTTAATAAGGCTTCTGCAATCCATGTTGGCTGAGTCCAGGGCCTTCCGTCTAGTTTCTGCCTCAGTAGTTCATTGCCATGTGACAGCAAACAGAGGAAGACTGAGTAACAAAGGATGACCGTGGGGCTGGTGTTGACTGGGAGCCATGATGAACTAGCATGCACATTAGGGAGAGATGTGTCAATAAGCCCAACACATATGTGCCACCCTGGCTCTAAACAACACACACACACAGAGAGACACACTCTCTCATTACCATCGAGTTAATTTTGACTAATATCAACCCAATGGGAAAGAGTAGACATGCCCTGTGGGTTTCCAAGGCTGTAAATTTTTAAGGAAGCAGAAAGCTTCATTTTTCTACCATGGACCAGCTGGTGACTTTGAACTGCCGACCTTGCAGTAAGCAGCCAAGTGCATACCACCAGCTATGCCACCAGCGCTCCCTTTGTCCTTGAAATCCAACTTTCTCAAAGGCTAGTTCCAGAATACTTTGCCATGAACATATGACTGTTTCAACTCACAAGTTAATTTAAGCCAGCCCTGTGGAGCTGATCCAAACCCTCCAAACCACTAAGGTGCCCTGGAATGAAGCAAGCTTGAGACCAAGCCTCCTGTCCCATCTCATGCTGGATCCAAAACTCCCTCCCTGGGGATGAAGGCAAAGACAATCGGAGGTCCGGAGGACACTTGATTCTTGTGAGAAAAAGAGAGAAAGAGGGAGCTAAAGGGAGCCAAAGAGAGATTGCATTATCTGATTATCCATCATCTGATTATCCAGGCACCCGAAGTAACCATGTTGCCTGGGGAAGCAAAAATTGTTATTTAATTAGCATCTCCTGAATGAGCTCTCGCCCTCTGCTGTAACACCAGCAATTATCCTCGCTCTGTTTTAGAAGTCATTCATAATTATGACTACAGTGCTACCATGCACGGTACAATTAAAAACTTCACGAACCAGGCAGGATTTAATGAGCTCTAATTAAAGGGTTGTTACAGGGTAGAACTGGATAAGCACTGAGCTGCTAACCAAAAGGTCAGAAGTTCGATCCCACCAGCCACTCCCTGGAAGAAGACGAGACAGTCTAAAGATGAAAGTCCTGCCAGGACAAAGACGTGAAAAGCTGCTCCTGTGAGGCCTGCAGGCTGGGCAAGCCTCCGTCGTCCTCCGGGACACCAAGCGTCAGACCAGACTGCCCAGCAGGGGCTTTGAGAGAGCAGAACTGCCAGCCACAGGACAGCGTGGACAAAGGAGCATCCAAAAAGTCAACGAGGAAGAGAAAATCAGTGGGGATGGCAGGAGAGTCTTTTGACTGTCCAAGAGTTTGCAGAGGTCTTTGGGAGTGTTGAGTAATTCCCCTCGGATGGACCCTATAGGAGGAAGTCGAACCATCCCATGGGGTTTTCTAGGCTGCCATCCTCAAGGAAGGGCTTGTCGGGTCTCCCTCCAGCGGGGCTGCCAGTGGGGTCAAACCGCCAGTCTTTGGGTGAGCAGGGCAGCACGGTCACCCACGCACCACCATATTTTTTCGAAACAAGCCATTTTAAAATCTCAGATAATCCTGAAAAGTATGTCCCTGTGAGCTGGGACCCAATTTTGAGGACATAATTCAGTGCAAAAACACACACACCTCTTTTGGTTTTTGTATATGTTAAGATAGAACGCATAGCCACTGCAATTACAGCCTAAGTGCTCTGACCGAGAGGTGAAAACTTAGTATCACGGTTTTCAGTTCTGATGAAACTTTCTTGCCATCAAACTGTACACGTATTCTTCCAGTAAATTAATGTTCGTTCGCTATTACCAGTTGTTTTCTGATACTGATGACACCCTGAGGGTTCCCTCCTCCTGGCTCTACCGGCCATCTCTCTGAATCATATACCCTGGGCATGGCCAGATGGTGGGTCGTCATGGAAACACACAAGCAGTAGTACCATAGCTGGTGTGACTGAGGCTTTTCTATGTATGCACTAGGCACTGTCCTCTGTGCCTCATGGGCCGTTAACGCATGTATTTCTCACCATAACATTATAAAATAGAGGCCTTTTGTTAAGGATGGATTTATGTCCCCCCCAAGATTAATGTGCTGAACTCCTGGATCTGTGATGTGATCTATTTGGAAGTAGAGTTTTTCTTTTTGTTGTATAAATGAGGTCACACTAGTATAAGGTGGATCCGAAACCTCATCACTTCTGAGTTATAAACACAAGAGAGAGACGCAGGGAAGACAGAAGCCATGTAAGGGCCATCTACAAGCCAAGCGTCACCAAGAAACCAGGAAAACCTGAGGCTACCAACAAGGAATCCACATGGCCAAGAGCCTGGTGGGGACTTTCAGTGTCCAGAACAATGAAAACATAAATTGCTGTTCTTTAAAGTTAACCACATCTGAGCTTAAATTGTGATCAACCAATTTGTAGGAGGCTATGGAGGACAGTGGAGAGCACCTAGTCAGATTAAGCCCCTGGCAGATCCCCTCTAGCCACAGGCAGGGGATTTAAAGAACTGTGCTATCAAACAGAGATTATTGTAAACTTGATTATGGTGGATCAGACCAGTGTATAATAGGATACTTGGCCAGTTGACCCCCCTCTTGATCCAACCTGAATTTGCTCGAGGCTAAGACATGTCTCATTTGTTCCACCAGAGAAATTCTTCTCTGGCTTTTTAGATATTGTTAGTGGTTTTCTTTCTTACTCTTTAATTTTATTTTTATCTTTACATAATTATTATTTCCTTCTTCCTGTTAAGTTTTAGTTTTGTGTTTTGTTGTTTCCGTTAGATGTCCCAGTTTATGAAGCACGGGAAGAACGGATGTGTAGAGACAGTAACTGATGCAATGGTCTTCGGGGAGGTGGTCTGTGAAGGGAATCAGGGAGCAAATGGAGGATTCAGGAGTGGGGAGGAAGCTTAGAATGGATGGTGATGATATAGACAACTCTTTTTAAAAGTGATTTAACTACGGAAGTGTATGATATTTGACTATTAAAGAAACCAAACTTGACCAATGACTCCACAGGTGAAGGCGGAAGGGTTTTTGCTGAGGGGCATTGAGTTCATGTTCATTGTGGGGAATAATTGGAAAGGGGTATCAATAATGGCTGTACAACATGAAGCACAGAATGAAAGGCACTGAATTATGCATGTAGAAATTGTTGAATTGGAGAATGTTTGTTGTGTATATTTTTGCCACAATTTTAAAAAATTACACAAACATTGAGCACAAGGAAGAATAAAATGTTCCAAAATTAATTTTGGTAATGATTGTACAACTCTTCTTGATATGACTGAACTACTGAATTGTATGATATGTGGCTGAAGTGCCAGTAAACTGTTTAAAATACATATCCACATACAGTATTTGGGTTACAGCAGCACTGGGTCACTGATAGGGAACCCTAGGGTATAGAGTTTACAAGTTGGGCTTCAATCTGCATGGCCAGCAGTTCAAAACCACCAGCAGCTCCAAGGGAAAAGGATGGGGCTTGCTACTCCCATAAACAGTTACAGCCTCGGAAAGCCACAGGGCATCACTATGAGCCAGCATGGACTCCATAGCAGCGAGAGGTAACAGCGCACCCTCCTTTGACTGGTGAGAAAGCTGAGGCCTGAGACAGTAAGCAACTCATCCATGGCCACCCAGCTAGTGAACGGTGGCACTGAACGTGACCCTAGTGGGGGGCTCCTGAACGCTTTACCCCAATGCTCTGCACCATGCACACGCACTTGGACGCAGCTCCCTAAGGGAGGGAACGTGTTACGCGGTGAGAAAGGAGCCAAGCTGCTACGACTACCCCTGAGTCCCAGCTCACCTGCTTGTGTTGAGGTTCCGGTAGAGCTGCCCAAGGGACTCCAGCAGTTTCCCCTCCGTTTCCCGGTCCCTGAGCTGCTGAGCAAGGGCCAGCCAGTGTTCGTGGTAGGTGATGCATGCCTCAGGGTTTGGGGACACAGAGCTGTAGAAATGGCAGAGGGATTTGGTGACCTGAAGCTGGCCTGAACATAAAGCGGGAAGACGAATGAGAAGACCTGAGAGCGGCCCTGGGGAAAAGGTGCTCGAATGCGCGCTTCCGGGGACACCGCCCAGAGCCTAGGCCATACTCACTCTTGAGGTGTAGGTGCCTTAAGCCAAACAGCAATGCCATCTCATAACAAAGGCGGCTACTGGCCAGCTGGCGCCTGTACACCAGGGCTTGGGCCAACCAGAGGAGCACTTGCACCAATTCCAAGTCCGTCTCCTTGCTAGCCTCGAGTTCAAAGTAGAGCCGGACCGCCTGCAGGAGATACTTCCTAGCCGGCTGTTGTGCCCGTGACCCCAGGGTCAGGTGGCCGAGGTTGGCCAAAGTCACCGCCTGGTTACGCAGGTCCCCCCTCTCCTGAGCTCTGCTCAAGGCCCGGAGGTAGCTCTTAGCCGCCCTTTTCCCTCGGCCTTCCCCCTGAAGGGCCAGTCCCAGGAGGTTATGGACCACTCCTTTCTCCATCGTAACACTGTCTGAGTCCTTCAGGGAGCCTACGAGAGGCTCAAGGATGTCCAGAGCCTTCTTCGACTGGCTGGCTAAGAGGTAGGCCCACGCCAGGCACAGGGAAGACTCAAAGGCTTCCAGCTCACCGAGCAGCTGTCCTAATGCCAAGGCTTGGCTCAGGTAGTAGATGGCACCCTCGGGAGACCTGTGTTGGAGATGCATTTTGGACAGGACGAGACATAGGGCCCTCTGGGTGCTCTGGTCTTCTCTGGTCTCCTCCCCACAGGCAGACAGTGCATGCCTAAGTGTCGGGCAGACCAGGGTCGAAACTTCATCCCAGCTTTGGAAAGGAACACCAAGGAGCCTGGTGACATTATGGAGGACCAGGTGGACCTGCCAAAGAGAGACGGACATCCCTTGGGCACTCTGGGCACCACGTTGTCGAACAGAGGCTACTGCAAGGTGCGGAAGATATTTCTTGTCATACAGGAAACTCAAGATGTTGCTCACAACATCTGAGGCAGAAGAGTGTCCGGAAAGGAGCTTCAGACGCTCGGCGAAGGGCAGGACCTCCTCGTGACGGCCTAGGCTGAGGAGCAATCGGATGGCCAGAAAGCAGGCCCGGGCCTCCAAGGGGTTGCTGCCTGCCACAATCCCCTGGCGCAATACGTAGACCACCACGTCAAACTCGTTCTTGGTAGTAAACTCACGGTCAGGCAGGCAGGCCAGCAAGGCCCCGGCCTTTTCTAACAGGGTGGAGGAACCCCTAAGCCTCAACCTCTGCCTCAGGTAGATGGCTGCCAAGTTGACATACAGAGCCGTGACCAAGGGCAGGTCATCGAACACGCCTTTGAGAATGTGGATGGCCTCCTCAAAGTACACCCTGGCCTGAGAGAGTTTGACCTTCCTGACGCTCAGCCGGCCAAGGAGGAAGCAGAGGCGAGCATGGGCCCAGGTCATCTGGCTCCGCTTGGCCCACTTCCTCGAGGCCTCCAGGTAAGCCACAAGCTCATCTTCCTCCGAGAAGCTATAAAAGGAAGTTGTGAGAAAAGAGAAGGAGAAATCATAGAGGGTCTTAAAGTGGTCGGCATAACCCTCCTGGTCCAAGAAAGCCAATATGGAGGCAAAGTCCTCAGCTTCCTCTTCCTCTTGACCAGCGTTGAGGTCCATGAACAATTCCGGGTCATCGAGGTCATCAGGCTCTGGCAGGTGATAGCTGTCAGAGGCAGCGGAGAGGAGCTCCTCTTCTGGACTGGAGTCCTCGGAGCTGCTGGACCGTGGGGAGCCCCTGGCCTGGGGCTCCTCCCAGGCTGCACCAGACCTGGTCTGCTTGAACTCTTCTGGCGGGGATGCTGTAAGGGACAGGCAGAGTTGAACATCCCTGAGCACCTGTACCGACCTGGGCAAGAGGGCAGGAATGCTGTCCCGAAGAGGCAGAAGTTAGGTTCAGCATGGTCTCTACTCACCACTCAGATCCTTTGGAAGATTCTGGATGGATTCAAATCCACCTGGGTAGAGAGGAAGAACACAGCCGGAGTTAGGTTAGACAAGTCACCGAGTCTATGTCTTCAGCCAAACCCAGACTCCTGAGTCTATTCTGGGTTTAGTTTCATTCTCTAAGGAACTGGCTCGACATCTCCCCTTCCTCATCTACTTAAACACCACAAGAGCCTAAATGTCTTGCTTAGCCCCCTCATTTGATTGTGAGAAATGCAACCCAGAGGCCAAGAAGAAAAGCTGACAACATAAGCATGATGTCAATAGGGGTGGCTTTAAGGGAGACGCTGGCTTCTGACATCCTAAAAGATGTGCTGACTCACTCAGCTCTCCTCCAGGCTGGGGTGTATCACATAGCCTTTCTTCTTCTTTCCTTCCTTCCTTCCTCCCTCCATTCATTCATCGTCCACACCCCCACAGACAGTGACTTGGTATGAACAGTGTGGTAGGCACCAGGTTTCAAGAGAAACTGAGTGACGAGGCTGAATGACCAGAAGAAGAGAAGGAACAAGGGCATTCGAGGTGCCTGATTTTGTTCTATGAAGGAACTTGGTAGGATGAGACAAGGGGAAGGGGCAACCTTCAATATGCTCTTAGACGTTTTTGAGTTGGAGGTACTTGCAAAGGCTCTAGGCAGAGCCTGAGATAGGTCTGTAGCCAACGAGAAAAGATGGAGTTTGCAGATAGAGACTGGTTACTCACAGCACAGAGAAGTTGGTTACATTTCTAGGATACATGAGATTGCACAGCATTTGCAAGAAAGAGTCAAGCATGCTGAGAGGAGAAGGGGGCTTCCAGATGGCGTGAAATAAGTCTGGAGAACATCAGTACCTACTGGTAGACAGGAAGGAGCCAAGACTAAGGCACAGGATTGTCCAGGGACGTCTTGTTTGGGGCCCACCATGGTGCCATGCCAACTCTTCTGGACAGCAGTTAGCAGGGTGCCATTCTCAGCCTGGCTCGGGCACTCCATCACTTGGCCCTCCATCTCCCAGTGTGTACAGGGAGAGGAGAAAGCGTACCTTGAGGTCATTTAGATGTCCCTCCCTTGGTCGGTGGGGAGCTAGACCTACATTAGCCACTAGCCATGGGGGAAGAGAGCTCAGCCCTGACTCAGGAAGTTCTTCTGCTCTGTGATAAGAAGAGAGGCCCCATACAGCTGACCATCCATGGCACGGCGGAGTGGGCATCATCATAGCTCAGTTTCTAAACAAAATGTCCTGCCCGACCCAGGAATTATTTGAACCCAGGAGTGAGAAGCCCACCAGTCAAACACAGGAACGGTGATAAACTGAGTAATGGTCAGAGCCCCAAATCTATGCATGGGATTAAAAGTTAGAGGGACTCTGTTCCTCCTCGGGGACCCCTCCCTTAATCTTGAGGAGCCTAGGCTTCCAAGCACTTACTAAGGCGGTAGACGGAAGCGATATCGGTGCGAGCCAGCGTGTGGAGGAAGCTGGAGCACTCGGCTTCCTTGTCACTGCCCAGCACCCACAGAGAGCACCTTTCCTCGTCGCTGTAAAAGGCACAGTTCTTGCTCCTGCATTGAGGCAAAAGACAAAGACAGATCCGTGCAAGGCTCCAGACATGACCCATCTGCCTCCACAAGAGAATGTAGTGAAGGGCCTCCAGCTCTCAGCCCACTTCGCTCACAGATGAAACCTGGTTTCTCATCTTGCTGTTGCCTGAAGTAGCTGTGTTGCCAAGGAGAAGGCCTGTTACCATCACGTCCTCGGAGAGGAGAGCTGTGTGGTGGCTGGACAGCTGTAAGCAGAGATGAAACACCACTCCCATTCAAACCCATCGGCCCTTTTCTCAACTCCTTCGCTCTCTTTGACACCACACGGTGTCCTTTTGTAAGGAGAGGAGTAGGAATGAGTTGCCGGAGTGTGAGCGCTGGAAGCCCAAACGAAACCAAACCCACTACCATCCGGTCGATTGGGACTCGTTGCCACCCTCTAGGACAAAGAAAAACTGGAGACTGCAAATCCTAACAGCAGCAGACAACCTCCTCGTTTACCTGAGGAGCAGCTGGTGGGTTTGAACTGCCGACCTTGTGGTTAGAAGCCTAATGCTTAACATACTGTGCCACTAAGGCTCTGTAAGAGTTGAAAACACGCCCTTCAAACAAAATGTCCTTGCCCCTAGTGGATTTCCAAAAAGAGCAAGGGACAAGTAACAAAAGCTAAATGAATAATGAAGAAAGTTTGAGTCTGGGCCCAGAGGAAGCTTTCACCATTGTTGCGATCTGATGCAATGACACAGAACAACTGTATTCTGCATTTTCAGCAAGAAATAAAATTGTTAAGCGATAGAAGGTGGGTGGAGAGGTCAGGGGGCTGGAAGAAAATTACTATAAACAATAGAGATCTTTATACTTACTCTGCTGTCTAAATTACTTGTTTAAACTAATTTGCCTACGAGGTATGTGTGAGAGAATTAACAAGATTTGAAGCCAGAATTGCCTTAGAAAACATTAGATCTAGCTGAATAATTTTTTGTTTCATTTTCCATTCTAAAGAGAACCTGGTTTGTCAAGGTCAGAACACTTTCCTAAAAGAGAAACCAACGTGGAAGCTCAAGAGTTAGTGGATTAAGGCCGATGGAGTTAGGTTCAAATTTAACACGTTATTACTAGTTTTCCCTTTGGATCCATTTTAAAGGTTCTTGTCGTTTTTATTACTTTCTGCTTTCTTTCAGAGTAGGGTCTTTCTGTGTTTTATTCTGTGATTGTTGCGGGGGAAGCAGGGAGTTGTCCACCTTTCTGGATATGAAATCCGGGCTATAGAGACAGTCACTGGAGTAACAGTTTCTGAGGGCTACAGCGAGGGAGGCTTTGGGAAGTGGGGAGCTAATAACAATGAGCGCGAGAATGAAGAAAGGGATTGTGGGGATGGCTGCATAGCTCTAATACGTTTAAGCCATTGAAATGTCGCGTGTGAGAAGTATTTGTCCTGAAATCTGTCAACAATGGTCTATGGATTGTCGGGGGCTCATGGGGGCGGGGAGCGGGGAGGGAGGGGAGAAAAGGTGGGGGCCTGGTGCCGGGGACTTGAGTGGAGAGCGGGTGTTTTGGGGGTAACAGGGGCGATGGATGTGCGGGTGTGCTTTGCACAGTTGGTGTGTGTGTGGATTGTGATGGGAGTTGTGTGGGGCCCTAGTAAAACGCTTAAAATCAAAATAAATAAATAAATAAACTCTTTCAAACACTCCTAAGCCAACAGAAAAAAAAAAGAGTCCATAGCTCTTGAGGGGTCAGACGAAGCAGACACTGTTCTCTCATTTAACCCAACACGTCCCCTCTGAGGCAGGACTCCTGGGAGCTCTCTGCAGGTGAGGGACTGAGACACAGAAAACGCACTATGTTAGGAGGTGGTAGGGCAGGGGGAGGAGAGCTCTCTAGTTAAAGCAAGGTTGTGGGAAAGATGGGGGGTGGGGGTCTGTAATCCTGATACACGTCTCTGCTCCCCATAGCACAGATAGACGCAGTTTCAAAGGCAGCAAAAATGGCCGACTTCAGGTGACACCACAAATTAGGGGTAGCACCGGAACTGAAGCCAAATGTTCTCACATCGGGCCCAGGGCTCTTTCCACCAGTCTACGCTGAGGCCCCTCTCTTCTCGTCAGCCTGGTCCCTGGGTTTCCCCCTGCTCTCGTCACAAAGGCTGCTGTCCACTAAATGCCCTGGACATTTAGTCGATGGACTGACCATCGACTCTAGTTGAGATCAGAAAGAACAGATCATCTTCCATTTTTATTTAATTTTATATTTGCTTATTTTTAGAATCCCAAGATTTTTTAATTTGGCAGAACACTCCTGAATTTACTATTTGATTTGCCTTTTCCCACAGTCTCATGATACAGGTATGTACCCAGGTTTCCAGATAAAGAGACAGGCTCAGAAAAGTTCCAGGGCGTGTCTAGGATTGCGCAACTAGGGAGAAGTCAAGCTGAAGCCAAATCTGAGGTCTTCTACCTTGGCATCCACAGCTTCTCTGTTGAACTCCTAACGTCCTATGGTCCATTAGGACAAATGCTTTGGGAAGCTACATTAGGGCTGTCTCCGTGTGGAAGTGAGGCTGGAGGGAACATGGCCAGGTTACTGGCAGTCACAGCAGGCTGACGTGCTGCTTGCAAGGCCGGTTCCACCAGACACCAACAAATTCTGGATAAAGGGTCGTAAAGATAGACATTTTAATACATGCTCTTGTTTTAAAGCAAGAAAAGGAAGTCTTTGGGAACAAGATGCAGAAGCAAAATCCAAATCCCACTAGATAAGTGGGAACAGATGTCCCAGAGATCCCGGGGAGTCCTCAGCTCTACCTAGTCCACCGAGGTGGGATGCTTCTAATGCCCTCCAGAGACAGGATCTGATGTTATGCCTTCAAGAAGTACAAGAGCCCTACTACTTCCAGAAAAAAAAGGAATTAGTCCGTGCTCCCTATCCACAACAAAATGTGCACCTGAATCTCTGGAAAGCATCCAACACCCTGGCCTGTCTCATTTGAAGGTGTGGCACTGGAATCCGCATGACACAGGGCAGTCACACAAACACTGAAGTTACCCTTAAGGAACAGGACCTGGATCACTGGAGCAAATGCAAAATCTCCTGTGTCTTCTCCCCCCAAGAGTCGTGTGAAGACCGCCTTCAGTTCACACAATGAACTGCACAAACCACACGCGTGAAGGGACTGCCAAGAAAGAGAGCCACCAAGCGACACATCGGTCCATCAACACTAAGACAACTAGAGCTTGCAATGATCTCCAGTAGAGCTCATAAGAAAGGTTTAAATGATGAAAAGATTTAAAAAACGAGCAGAAGCTACAATGAGAGGGTGAAATATGGTGGGTGAAAACAGGCAGATGTCAAAAATGGCAGAATACAAATTACAGAAATGAAATTAAACGTATAGAAATTGAGAAGTAGGTGGATGAATTAAACAGCACATTTGGTCCTCGCAGAGGAAAGAGCTGGTAAAACTGAACATGGTTCGAAGGAGATCAGCCAGCTTGAGTGACATAGAAGTGACAAACAGACAAGAGGATGATTAAGTGAGGGGGAGGGAGAACAGGAAGTCCAACACAACTGGAGGGAACTCCAGCAGAGACTCAAAAGAGTCACAGAAAGGTAAAGCTCAAAAGGAGAAGACTGAGAAGCTTCCAGAATTCAAGAACGATATGTCTCCTGATTGAAGAAGCAAGGCCTGAGCAAAATATTAAATGTGGTACAGTTTACTTTACAGCAAATGATGCGAATCCATGCAATTTTAAACATGGCTGTCATTTTTATAGGGCATAGACCTGCCCAAGTTTTCTATTTCTCCTTCTTCCTGGGATCAGTTATCTATTTTAATTAGTTGTTCAATGTCATGAGAGGAAGGAATTAAATATAAAGGGCAAGAACATTAATTAAGGATGTAAAACAAAGTAATAAAGATAAATACTGTTATTAGCAAGTTAGAAACACAAAAGCTATATAGATGTGCAAGCAAAGCAAAAATCAATTATCTGAAAAGGTTAATAAAACAAACAAACCCTTGGCAAACTGGCTTGAAATTTAATGTAAATATTTTCCTGCAGCAATTTGAAGATGGTCAGCTGTCTACATGTAGCTAAATTATCATTCAAGAGTATATCTTAAATATATTCACGACAAATAAGGACTAAAACTGAGAGTGTTTATAACTCAGTGCTCCACAGAAAGAACTACTAAAAGATAGACTTGATGTGACAATTCGCTATAAATGTATATATATATATATATACATTTAGCACATTGAGACCTATTATAGTACGGACATCAATGACAAAGGAAACTTTTTAAAAATTAAAATCTGCAATAAAAAAGCTGACTACTCAAATAGAGATGGCTGTGGGATTGAGAATAAAATGGTCATGAACCCGAATAGATGCCAAAAGAAATGGAATTATAAAGAAAGCATGGATCGACAATGTGAAGAACAGAAGAGAATATGCATCAAAGAGAAAAATGTTTCATTTAATGTGGTTATGAAATAGTGGAGCTTCTCTTGTGCTTTTTCTTTGGTTTTAAATGCGTTCACATTTTAGCCTGTTTTATTTTTTAATGTATGCCTTGAAGTATATCCGTTATCTTTAAATAGCACTTTATTACAACGGGCGATAGCACAACACGAGTAGTCTAAATTCACAATGCCAGTGAAGAGTCAGTCGGGTAAGAAACAGCTGTGTATGGTTTTAAGTATGCAGAATCATCCTTTTAATCAGCATCTCCATAATCTGAAAACAGTTCAGAATCAGGGCTGGAAGGTGACACGTCAGCTGCAGAAGCAACTTTGCATCTGAGTTAGAATCAGAAGCAAAGGTAGAAGCTGGAAAGAGCCAAAAAGGAACTTCAATTTTACCTAAAACCACATTTCCCCTGAAAACACAACACATACATGGATGGGGCTGCAAAAATAAAATTCATGTAAACATGGAACTAATAAAGAATGGAATTTTTCCACAAACATTTTTGAAGCTCCCTTCTAGGTGCAAACACACACACATCGAATGTTTAAAATTTCAATACATAAAAACAAGACACATGTGGCATCGTTCTGTCACCACCCTTGAAAGTTCTGAGACTCCCAAAGTCTCCCTTTGTGTGTGTAAACACTAGCTCTCTCTGGCCGGATGCAGCAGGCTTTCCAGCGGATGCCAATGTCTAGTCGGGAGCCGGTTGAGATCTGCGCTGTACCAAGAAGCCCATAGCAGCAGAGTCCCTGTCCGGGTGTCAGCCTCTAAGTCCCACTTGGAAGATGGCTGCTGAGAAATTTCACTCTCAGTAGACTGCCAACTCAGTCCTTACATCTTCTAGGGGTGAAATGCCACACAGGGCGGGAGTCTCTGCAGGAGGATGGAGACTTCTCCCAAAGCTGATTCCAAACCAGCACAGGCTAAGAGGGACACCCAGGAGCCAGACCACTGGCAGAGTGCTCAGACAGACCCGACTGTGGCTTGTGCCCGGTTTGACTGGCTGTCCTTCCTCTGACCTCAAGTCCATCCCCCAGCATCTCTGGTTCGGGGATGCCTTTAATCTAGAGAGTGCTTGGGGAGCAGACACAGAGCCAGTTCCTGTCACCTCTCCTTCCGCACCTTCCTGTTTCCTAGATTGACTTCCCCCTTCTCTACCAAATGTCCCATCGCTGGTACAGTAGGTCCCACGGGTGACCAAGTATCGAATAACGGGTCACCCTCTGCATCTCAGGGCATGATGTGCTGCAGCATGGGCGGGCATGCCTACAAAGAAGCCAGCTAAGATGGAATCATCACATTACACTTAATGGTGCAGAGTTGTTATTTGGGGCAAGACGATGTACAGAAGCTCAAATGCCATTTATGAAATCTGGTACCGGCCCCCAATACCCACTTCAAACTGCCTTTCAAAGATCCCCATCACCATCCAGAACAATAGCAATGATGATAGCTCATGGATGTTGATCATATATACATACACCCGCACTATGCCAGGCACCATTCTAAGTGCTTCACTAGATTAGCTCATTTAAATGGATAACAATTCTATTGTTCAAGTACTAATACTATCCATATCGTACAGATGAGAGATTGACACCTAAATCAAGTTGCTCAAAACCACAGAGTTGGTAAGTAGCACATGCTGAAGAGGCCCTAGAATGCCTTCCAGGTGCTCTGAGTCCAAACCACTGAGCTACAATGCCTTGCATTGGCCAGTCTGCCCTGCTCTCCTGCTTGAGGCCTTCCACAGTGCTACCCACCTCCCTCTCCATGGCTTGTCCTTTCCTCTCCGCTAGCTCCTTCCCAGGCGTCTTTGCAGCGAGCTTTCTCCATGTGCTCTATCAAGGGTTGACGTGGGTGGAGCCCAAACCCCAACCCATGGCCACCCTGTAGGGCAGGGTACAACTGCCCCTGTGGGTTTCTGAGACTAAGTCATTACAGGAGTAGAACGCCTCACCATTCTGCCTTGGAGAGGGTGGTGGTTTTGAACCACTCACCTGCTGGTTAACAGCCTAACTCGAAAACCATGACACCATCAGGGTTCCTTGGGTGGTGCCTAGGCAGAGATATTTGTAGAAGCTCCTTAGGTGAAGTTAGTGGGGATGGCAAAGTGAGAACCACTAATGTGAATCACCCATCCACAAGGAACCTTGGTGGCATAATGGCTAGGTGCTTGGCTGTGAACTGAAAGGTTGGTGGTTCGAATCCACCTAGCAACCCTTCAGGAGAAACACATGGGGGTCCATTCCTGTAAAGATTACAACAGAAAAGTCAACAACCAAACCCACTGCCACGGAGCGGATTCTGACTTACAGTAACTCTATGGGGCAAAGTAGAACTGTGCCCTGTGATTTCCGAGGCATCTTGATGGGGACAGAATGCCTCATCTCTCTCCCATGGCGCAGCTGGGCATTCAAACAACTGACCTTGTAGTTAGCAGCCCATCACTTCCCTCAGCACACTGCCAGGGTTTATAGAAAGCTCTATAAACCCAAACCAAACTCACTGCCATTGAGTGGATTCGGGCTCAGAGTGACCCTATGGGACAGGATAGAACTGCCCCTGTGGGTTTCCAAGACTATCGTTTACCGGAGTAGAAAGCCACATCTTTCTCTCAAAGAGCAGCTGGGTAGATCTGAACTGCTGATCTTGTGGTTAGCAGCCCAACACATAACCCACTATGCCACTGTTCTGCTGAAAAACTCCGTAGAGCAGTCCTCTTCTATCACACGGGATCTCCATGAGTTGATAGAATAGGACTTGTTCCTGGAGTGCTCCACCCTGCCTGGTTTTCTACCTGCACTTCATTCCTGTGTATATCTGCTGAGATATTTTACATGTGGTAAACATGTGACAGAGCTGGAGAAAAGGAAATCCCACCTGACTGTCAGAGCCGGAGACGGGCATTGGTTTGCGTTTTCTCGCTGCTATTATGGTGTTATTATGGAATTGCGTCCTCCCCCTCACTCTTTCCCTACCCAAAAGTATGTGTTACTCTCCATGCTTATGATTATAACCCCATTTGGGGAGCGGGCTTCTTTATTATGTTGATAAGGCAGGCTTAGTAGAGGCTGTATCTATGTCCATCTCTTTTGAGATTTAAAAGAGGTTAAACAAGCAAGCGAGGAAGCAGAGACTGCGGAGCTGTCAAGCAACATGAAGATCACGCAGGAGCAGAAGCGAGGAAGGCCAGGCCTTCCCCAGAACCAACAGAGAGAGAGAACACCTTCCCAAAGCCATCTCCCTGAATTCGTGCTCACAGCATCCCAGACTGAGAACACCAATGGCTGTTCTTCAAGCCACCCACCTGTGGTGCTCCTGTTAGGACAGCACCAGATGACTAAGACGCTCATGTGGGGACAGTGGTGCATCAAAGGCAAGAACAGCGCCGTGTGTCCTCTTATGCTTCCAGGACCCATCCATAGCAAGGTT